ACACTGACCGTACCGACACTGACCCGTTCTGACACTGACCGTACCAACACTGACCGTACCGACACTGACCCGTTCTGACACTGACCGTACCAACACCGACTGTACCGACACTGACCCGTTCTGACACTGACCGTACCAACACCGACTGTACCGACACTGACCCGTTCTGACCGTGCTGACACTGACCGTTCCGACACTGACCATGCCGACACTGACCCGTTCTGACACTGACCTGTACCAACACTGACCCATTCTGACCGTTCTGGCACTGACCATACTGACACTGACCATACTGACACTTCCTGCACAGCTTTGTGCAGGAATTAATTTTCCTCTCTGGTGGAGAGGAGAGGCCAGGCCAGAGAGTTGTGATGGAATGGGATGTCTTCTGTACCTGTTGACCTCTTGACCTAATCTTAATAATGAATTAAAAAGAATACAATGAATGGATGAATTTATCTGTGTTTTTAACAAAGGAATTTTTTGTTAATCTGGACTTGAGGTTAATATTAATGAGCCCTGTAATTTAAATTTTTAATAATCACTAAATGATTTCATCTTTAAATCTGTACAAAAGTAAAACTTGTTGTTGTCAGGTTGTGGTTTAGCATATTTTCAACACTGAACCACTTTTCTCCTGATTGACATGAAGCTTAAAAGTCTTGTTTAGCAGCAGTTTCACGTCAAAGAATTGTGGTTAGATAAAACCAGTTTCTAAAGTACAGAAACCATTAAGATTTGTACCATCTATAAACAGCAAAGCCAGTTTCCTCCTGAGGTTTTACATTTCTTACAGACCAAACTGAGAAGACTCATATTTTAGTCACTGCCCAGCAGTATTAGGTGTTCTTTCAGTTCAGTACAGAGCATGACGGTGTATTATCTGAGGTTTCCACAGTGACTAATCACATACTGGAAGGCTCGTCATCTATGGCTGAGGTAAAAGGTTAGGTAAAGAGGGAGACAGGGATCAACAGACACACAAACACAAAGGAATACACAACTAAAGGGAATATCTGAACCATGTTTGATCATTCTCCATGTGCTTTTAAAGCTCTAATCATTGAACTAAAATCTATAAAACTTATATTTTTAATTTAAGCTGTTCTGTAGCTATAAAACAGTGATATCTGTTTTCTGAATTGTGTTCATTTGCTAACGTTTAATTTTTGTGTTTTCCAGCAATGGGCCTGAATTCAACCCTGGGAAGCCTTTTGATTTTTCTCTGGATGTCAGGAATGTGGGCAGGATTTGTAGAAAGTGAGCTCAGTCACACAACAGACACACACAACTAAAACACAGACATTCACACACACACCAAAGTACTTTGCAAATAATTTCATGTCAATAAAACATTTAATAACAATTCACAAATCTCAGGAAATGGACTTCTTGTTTC